CTTAAGCTTTAGCTTAAAAAAGGTATTAAGAGTATATCTAATAATAATAAATAAAATATATAAAAGGAGGGCAGGGGCTATATATATTATAATATTATTTTATAATATAATATTTATTAAGTCCTTACTAGTTACTAGACCTATCTTTTTAAGATTATTAGTATAATTAGTAGTAATTTAACTTAAGATAAATTTAAGAAGCTTATTCTATTTAGCCTAAGATATTATAATCTTTATATAAACTCTTACTTTAACACACCTTATACTCACTATAAAGTATATCTTTAACTACTTAATATAAATACTATAAATATCTTGATTTAAGGTGTTACTTTAGGTTAGGTCTAGATTATAGATATTTATAACTATATTACTAAGGTATATCTTAGTAATTAGGGTAGGAAAAGGGTCATCTATAATAGTCTTAATAGTCTTATTATTTTACTTCTTTTTAAGAGTTATTATATAGAAATTTAACCTAAGTTAGATTCTAGAGCATATAAGAGAAAGAGGTGAGTTAAATATAGATATAAGGGGCTAGATAAAAAGAGAAATTTAATCAGGTTAAAAAAAGGTAGATTTAGGGGTAAAGGGTAGAAATTTCTTTATAAGATATATAGTAAAGAAGGTTTCTAACCCCTAGGAATTTATTAGAGATATATATTTATATTATTTTAATTAGGTATAGTGGCTCTCTTTATATTTATATTAATAAGAAATATTTAGATAAATAGGGTAGTTAATATATACTTAAATTATGGCCTATTTAATATCTATTTAATACTATTAAGGACTACTATTATTCTAATAAGATTAATAAAAGTAGGTCTAGAAATAAGTTAGCAGCTTAGACTAATTATATATACTCTATATTTTAAATAAGTATTATTATTTCTAGCAGAATATTATATAGATAGGAAAAATATAAATTAATATTATTTAACCTTAGTCAGATTCTATAAATAAATATTATATATTAATATAAAGACTAAGAGGAAAAAGAAAGTATATTATCTATAGTATAAAGTAGAAATCTAACTAAGGTTAAATATAGCTATATATATATATATATATATATATATATATACTAGGCTCTATAATACTTAATATATATAAGCTATTTATTTAGAACTTTAGACTATATATTAAATATAAAATATTAATACATAATATTATTTATTAAACCCTTTAGTCTTAAAATCTACATTCCTTATCCCTTAAATATAAAATTATAAATAATATATAATTATAAACTAAGTAAGGTTATATAAACTACCTTAAGGTAGATTTTTAATTCTTCTTATTTATATAAAATAACTACCTCTAGGATAATATTTATAATACTTATTCTCTTTACTATAGATATAGAAATTTATGCCTCTATTATAGAAGAAATATATATTATCTAGTCTTTAATATCTTATTAAATACTTAAGAAGTGAATTCTTAGTTTTATTAATATTTAAGATTATTTATATATATCCTAGATATAGTCTCTTTCTATATATATTTATATCTAGGTATTCTTTTCCTTATATATATATATATATATATATTATAGACTAATAGATGTTTTTTTAGATTAAATAGGATTAAATACTTAATAATCTTAGGCTCTATACTAAAGTTCTATAATAGTATAATTAAGATCTTAATATTAATAATTCTAATAAAGACTTATTATAATTTATAACTTAATAACTTTTAACTCTTATTAAATAAAAAATATTTATAACCTTATCTTTAGTATTACCTTAATAACCTAAGTAATAAAGGTAAGCACCTTAAAGCTGCATTAAAGAATTCCTTATAAATCTTTTATAGTATAAAGCTAAAGCCTAAGCTAAAGCTAAAGCTAAAGATATAAATAGCTTAAATATAAATAATATTATTCTTTAATAATATACTTTTATTATAAAATATATATATCTATATTATTCTTTATAGTAAATATCTATATTCTATACTATATCTTTATAAGCATAGAGTTATATACTTATATATATAATACTTATAA